TTTTTATTTCTGTCAATGGAATGTATGAAAGGAATATAAAACAGGCCATAAAGAACCACAATGCTGCTTGGAGACAGAAGTCTTGCCCAGGGTGCACAGCTTTCATTAGAGGGAGCAGGAAGTGCAAACATGATGTCAGAGCTGCAGAGATTATCTGTACAAATGGTGTTATCATTTAACCCAAACAAACAGCAGGSAAAGGCTCGCCCCCTCCCTTTGAAGACAATGGATGGTTACTAAATTGGACTTCTAATGAAAGCCATTTTCACTGAAACACAAGATATGTGCAACAGTTGGTCCAGAAATGAAAATCTGCTGTAACAGCCAAAAGTCAAAGGCAGCTATAAATACAGGCCTTAATCTTTTCAAGAATCCCTTAACGAAGCCTATAAAACTGATTATATCTTCAGGCCTAACTCAAGTGCAAATTCTTACTCAGAAAAATGTAACAGCCCTGTGATTATGACTTGAAGAGCAGTACAGAGACAAGGAATGAGGATACAGAGTASTGGTCTGAATCCTCACATCTTGGAATACAAATTACATTGCATTYACAATAAACAATTAATGAGACAGCAGAAGCCTTGGCTACAGGTCCATTTTTCTGAGAGAGAAACAATTTCCAGAAGCGGTCAGAGCGGGATGCAGAAACACTGCATCATTCCTTTTAACACAACAGAAATGCTCTTTGATTATTTAAAAGCTTATTGCAAAGATCTGTCTTCAAAACCTCCTATTGCAGGTTTAATAGCAAAGAGGTGCAAGTACACTTACCAGCAACACGGGAGTAAAGTACAGACTTTTGTTTTAACAAAATCTATATTTATACGATTACATTTCCTATGGTTGAGGGCAGCTGTAATTAATGGATTTCCCTCCTTCCCCTAATGCAGTCATTTGTCAATTTAAACACAGAATGCCCAATCAATTTTGATGTATTTAGTAAGCAATTTGTCAGAGTACTGCACACCAGTTAATATATTAATTCTTGTCACTGGCCCACTTCTGACAACTGCAGGCCGTGTCCATAAAATTGGTCCTGATGAGCCRAAACTCTTGCCTGGAATGTGAAGGTGCCCTTGGCGGAGCCAGAGGAGAGAAATCAGATTTCAATCAATTCAATACCTTTTTGGGGCAGTTTTTGGTCAGTTTTCGGGGGTTTATTTATTAACGTGTTAATTGGCCACGTTTCAGATATAGCAACTACTGTGCAACAGAAAAATGAAGAGTGGAGAGATAAGGAAGAGAGGAAATAAATATGAAATGAGGATGTCAGACTTTATGGTAATGCAGTCACCTATTTYCATGGCCATTCCATTACGTGCCATGAACATGTCTGTGTGAAGTCAAACATGAAAAAACATGTGAAAGGCACAGAAGTCACACAAAAGAAACAAGGGATAAGTCAATCAAATGTGCAAAACTTCAGGTCCTGGCAAAAGAGAGGAAAGAATTCATTTGAAAGAAACCTGAACACAACCAGGGGATTGTCATGGACATGGAAAGCACATTTTAACAGCATCCTCAAGAGTTTATACTACCAAAAGTACCTTAATTCCTAAGYACCAAACAGCAGGAAGAAAGCAGGATTTAAAGGGCAATTAATGACAAAACYTGGCAATTCTCTGGAGAAAGCTTTTACAATGTGAGTTCCTGTGGACACCAAAACCCTCCTGTGCACACGTGCAATGCCTTGCACGACTCTCCTCCCACTGCCATCTCTACATGATGGTATCCATGTTATAGGAAAAACACCCAGGAAGAACAAAATGTGMCTTAGATTTCCTTCTGTCATGGTTAGATTCAGAAATTAAACACCCAGGATGAACAAAACGTGACTTAGATTTCCTTCTGTCATGGTTAGATTTAGAAATTGTTCAGGACACAGGTGAATAAAGAGGGAATATCAGAGACACAAATAAGGTAGAATATTATGTATTACATCTGAACAGCATTGAGAAATATCTGATGCCTATCACCCAGCACTGAAAACCTGAGGATTATAATAAATCTAGAGTTTTGTGGGAACTCTTATGTGAACAACAGTGAGAACCTGCTCTGTGAGGAGGAGCTCTCAGCACTGGTTATATCCTCTCTGCGAAGAGTTTGGAGCAGGATGCTGACACTTCCTACAGGCCAGCAGCTTGTGGAATTGAACATGCAAGTTCACTTTCAAGCCATGAACCTACAGAAAGCTGTAAATCCCTCGCTTCCCAGTTTCTCACCTCTGCAGCAGCCCGAGTTGTGCTAACGGGCTCAGGTACACACGAGCTGCACACACTGATCCAGGTTTCTGCAGCAGATGTCACAGATGACCTCAAAGCAATGAAACAGCTGTGCTGATCCACTTACAAATACCCTTGGGATAAAGGTCTTGGACACTTGTTGTACAAAACATTTCTTCAAACAATGGTTCCTTGTTCCTTCCTTTCTAGCTGCAAATAAAACTTTCATATTCTTTAAAAATATTCAAAGCTGAACCTTTTGTGTGTCAATAACTTAACGCAGGATTTTTAGAATATTCTCTGTTTAGCACAAGAAGTCACCRGTCTGGTTTATATTTTTCAAAGACTAAGGAAGATTTTGGCCCTGTGTTTTGGCATCAAACCTCYTATTTATGAAAACCTGGCCGTGCAGCCCTCCAAGCAGCCCGCCAGACGTCTCATTGTTCTGCCCTGCTGCTGACAGAGGTACTCTGTGCTAAAAAGCACACTGAGGGTTTTTCAATGACCCAGGGGGCAAAGGTCACTTATTATAAATGGATAATGAGACCTAATGCAATGTTCTGAGTGTGGACAAAGAAAGGGTCTATCCATACCCCCTTGTGACTTGGTCATTCAGGCTTTTATTTCCCCTGCACACTTAATGGAGCCAAACAATCGGCAGAAATGCTATACAGAAACGGAGAGAAACTGCTGCATTCTACCTCCGAGAGACAGCTACAAATWGTGACCCTGAAACGGCGCCACCGCTGCTCTCAGCACGGCCCTGGCAGACAGATGGAACAGCCCCCCCAGCCCCGAGTCAGCCATTTGCTGGCAATTACAGCCCCCGATGGAAGGAGAGCACATCAAAATCAAACCAGGCTGCAGCTCCCGGCAGCCCAGGGCAGAGCTGCAGGTAAGCAAAGCCATGAGCTGGGCTTAGCAGCTCTTTAACAGGTGTCTTTTGTGGGAAAGCTGCTTTGACTTCATGTTTGAAGGGACTTCACTGAGGAGCTTCCGRCTGATTAAATCCAGAAGATAAATAAAACTTCAAAGACAATCAGACACAAATTTCTCTGTTCTTTCCATTTGCATTTTATCCTCTAGATACTCTTCTATCTTTAGTGGTTATTATTCTATTTTCCTTTCCATTTCACATCCAGCTGAAAAAATTCCTATTATGTAAATTAAAACCTGAATTAAAAGTCTTGTAATTCAAATAACATGAGTTCATTAATTGTTGGAATTAAGTTGCCACTCAYTCCTCTTTCTTTTCTTTAAAAAGTTTTCAGCACAAACCATTTGAAATGTGAATTTGTTCACGTTTATACTGTAGTGTGTAACAATATTTGAGCTGCTAATAAAATGTTAATAAAACACACAGAATGAGCCCCATCCATCCTGACTTCACTATGTGGGATACAAGTGAAATAAGGCAGGAATCTAGCAGAAAACCCCAGCCACAATGCATATCTAATGGTGCTGCACACTACTAATTATTTTTTCATATTCTTTTCTACCTTTTGAGTTTTATCCCAATTTTCTGTGCAGCACAGAAGAATGAAAACTCAAACCCTGCAGGTTTCCCTAACACTCGGATGCAGCAGATGGACAGGTAGAAGCAACTGATCCAATCTGGCACCAGTGTCCCTTTTACCARTCCCATCCAGAGCCCTCCTGGCCCACATGGTCACTTGGTGCATTTGAAATGCCCGTGTCACATCACACTGCCTGCACMACAACTGTGCACAGGCTCTGGTTTCCCCATGAGAACCCTGACAGATGCCAGGAGCTGCTCCCTTGTGAAACTTCAACTGCTGCATCACTCTGATCCTAGACAAAACAGAGATTTGCTCCTCATTTTCAGCAACCTTCTCTTTTAAATTGTCAAATCAAGCAGAAATAGTTATCTGTAATGGGTTTGTGTGTATATATTATAAGGATGCAACATCTGTATATAGTAATAGGTGTATAAATGTTTCTAAATATGCCATGCCATGAAAATCTTGGCTCTCTGGGAATGACATGGCTGGGCAGGACATGGGCCAAGGCAGGTGGGCACCCATCCCTGGAAGCAATGCCAAGGCTCCTGAGGGAAGCAGCTCTCTGAGACTGCCCAGCAACCAGGGCAGAGGGAATGATGGGKTTAATCTCAAATTTGGGAAAGGTTTGAGCTGCAGGTCATRYGATCAGGGAGCAGCCTGTGATTGGTGTGACCATGTCTTGAGTGTCAAGATGTGATTGGTTAAACAGAGCCTGCAAACTGTTAACCCATCACCTATCAGAGATGTGATTGGATAAGAAGGTTTGTGGGTGGAGACTCTGCAGAGCAAACAGCCAATGGGTGTTTAGCCCGGGGAAATTAAAGTATAAAAAGGCACAGTTTTTTTTAAATGAAGGATTTTCTTTGAGCCAGCTAAAATAGAGTCTGTGTCCCCTACCCCCAYCATTGTCACAAGGGAAAATGCAAATGCACTCGCTTGTCACTGGGTATGGAATTCACAGGAGGAAAYGGCCAAAAGCATGGAAGGAATGAGGTGAGGAAACCCCAAAGATTCCGTGGGATCTGTTGGGTCACTCTCAAGGCCAGCCAAGCATTCCCACAGCCTCACAACTCTGATTCATGTCAAGAATCCCAGCACTACATTCACTACTCTGCCCTTACTAACACMGTTACACACAGCCTTAATCTGGGCTTGAACATGCACCGAAAATTGGCTGAAAAACCAGCTCAGAAAGTCACCCTCTGCTTWAAACGTGCACATGAGACAAGACAAGAAGTTGTCAGCTACTCACAGCCAGCCAGAAGATAYTGGTAGTACTGCACAGCATCTGCAGCCAGGAGCAGTGGATGGTTTGCATTAAATGGTGGTTGGAGCTCATTCCACTGAGGAGTTCTGAGGTAAAACACAAGACTATTAATATTTAAGCTAATACAGAGAATGTAAATCAGTGTTTCTGTCATCACATGCAATTATCTATACAAGCTCACAAAATGTTTGTAATTATTTAAATTAGCTTGTTCAAACACTGCAATCCACCACAGGCAGTGGAGCAGCAGGGCCAAATCGTGCAGATTGTGAGGCAAAGACAATAGTTGGTTGTTGACTGCAGCAGGGATTGCGTAAAAAACCCCAGGAAGGAGGTTTAGATTAAGTTGGTAAATATGTTTAGGACCATTGTATGGCATTATATAAATACACAACAGAAACTGGGGAACTTTTTTGTTCTGTTAACTACCCRCTGCTTCCATCCTGTAAAGTCATTGAGCAGTTACAAACTGTGAAAATAAAGCTGTGTAAAGCTATGGATTATTGATCCAATTAGAATATTCAATTCCATTACAACCTACTCATTTCAACAATAATGGTCCCGAAGWCTGTGTTGTAATTTTAATTAGGGTGGGCCATTCCTAAATAGCTTGGTAAATCAAGTATTGATCACTCCAGTCCAGCCATAAGCAGCACTAAGGAATGTAGGAGCCAAGAAAAATCGATAGCAAAATATTTTAAAACGTCAAAAGCACTGACAACACTTTCTCATCAATTTTTCTTTACTTTCTTCCACATGTCAGGAATAATTTCTTYTCCTGTCTTAAGAAATGGTACCTCCAGCTGCTCACAGGGTAACTTGCAATGCTTCATTGTGGGAACCTTGCTCATGTCTCACGGCAGAATTCCGTACTTCAACACTACTAAAATAATTGTTTCTAGACCTTATATAAAAAAAGAATTACAACCTGATCATTCAAAAGCACCAATTAATAAGGTTCTGTATTGATTCATAGACATGGCCATGCAGCTCCACGTGCACAGAAGGATTTAAATGCTTAGTTCCCATTCAGGYACATGAACACTGCCAGAACTGTATGGAAAGGAAGGCTGGAATTTCTCTCCTTCAATAGGAGTCTTTCCATGAGTGACAATCACCATGTAGCTCATTGGAGAAGGGAAATCACAACCATTTGGAGGACAAAAGGAAGGAAAAGTCAGAGGAATGAGGTACCTAACCAAAGTCCAGCTGGCCCTGGGGCAGGTGACCATCTCCAGAGGGGTGTCATCACTGATCTTGGGCGCGGTGCTGAGCGGCCGCGGCTCCAGGACGTGCTCCACCAGGCTCCCGTAGCAGCTGATGATGTACAACGACTCCACCACAAACTGCTTCGACTGATCTGGGGGCAAAAGGAGAGAAAATCTTGTTGCAACAGCACAGCAGGAACAGAAAATGCGTTTACAGAAATAGACACTCTGTGTTCTTTTAATTCTCTTGCTTGAAGGTAAAATGTGAATTAAAAGAATGACACAGAGAAAATCATACGAAATGCACAACTGAAACACAATTGAATTAATATCTCATACAAGAGAAGGTGGAACAGAGTTTCTCACCAAGGTGATTACACATTCCCAAACATGTTGTACATTTGCTTTCTCCTTTATCTCCCCATTTTTTCAGTGCTACTTCACATAATATCTCTGGAGTGAACTACCAAAGTTCAGTTCTTTCACTGCATCAAAATAAAATATCAATTCTTTATTTCACTCATTAAAATTTGTTGTAAATTATCCCATTTACCAAAAGCACCTCAAGTATGTTCCTAAAAATCTCCATTGCCACTGAGTTTAAGGAAYAAAATCCACAAATAAGGACCAATTGTTCAGAACCTGTCACAAAATGAGCAAATAAAGAATTTAAGTTGAAATGCAAGCCCTAATGYCGTAAGACACCAACCTTTTTCTCGTTTGAGACCGGAATTGTTTGCAAACCATGACCTTGAAGATCCAAAGACTGCAGCGACACAAAACTCCCCTCCCACAGACTTACTGGGTGAAATCTGTGGAGCTGGTTTGGATTTGCTTTAAAGAAAGMACAAAATAAAATTATGCAAGTTAATTCTCAAAAAATAAAGATGTCCTTTGCTTAGCTGCAATTGTATGATATTACTTCAGAAATGGTGACTATCTGCAGTTCCCATAAGGCTGAGCAGGATTTACAGATGCTCAGTGTTTCCCAATATTAGGTCCCAAATTCCCCTGRAATACTGAATTCATTAAATTGTAGAGGAGCACCGACTCTGGGAGAAGAATAATGAAGAATTGGAATGTTTAAAAGACCCAATCCTTAACATTTGCATYCAATAGGAACAACTTCTGAAGTAAATACAAATAAATTTTAAATCCTTTGGGAATGAAAACACAGATTCTGGCTCAGTCATTCCAAGTGGTCGATATTWCCCTCCTTTTTCCAAAGGAAGTCAGGAATAACCAAGGGATGTGTGTGACAAAGGGTGGGAGGGAATGACATGCAGAGGGTACAGGGCAAGGAAAGGATGCACACACACATGATCCACGGGTTAGGACACATCAGGAATTGTATCATGGAAAAGCAGATTAAGGGATGCTCTGCCCTGAACCCACAATGTGCATGGAGCCGATCCAGGGGGTSTGRGGATGTTTATTGAGCCATCCTGTGRTGTYTCTGCTCACAGGGATCTGCTGATATATGACATTCTGCTCTGCAAAAACTCAAAACTATGGTCAGAGCATTGTTCTCAGTTCATTAAATCAGGATTTCACCCTTTCCTTAACAGAAAATCTGTTTGAGAAATCCATACAGGATTCCTCCTTCTCCATGTTCCCCTTCTGTTAGTCCTTTTAAWTGAATTATTTTATATTCCTCTCTCTACTCTATTTCACTGATCTCTTCTCTTGCCACCTCTCCCTCTTTTCCACYTTTCTTCTACTAATTTCTTCTTCCACGTAATTGCAGCCAATGATTAGTCCATGACATTAACCTGTTTTTTACATAACAGTCTCCAGTTCTGAGAAGTGTGTGTGCAAACAAAGGACTGCAGGTGTTACAATGGATTTCAGCACTAGAATATGTTAAAACAGCAGAAATCAATTAAAATATTGTATCAGCACAATGATATTTAATTTATACTAACAGATTGTTTACATGGCAAGCCTATGGTCACACGTTACAAATTGAAACAAAAAAGTTCTTTCCAAAGGAATTCCATCACACTGACCAGAGTCCATGGAAAAATTCAGACAAATTTCCATGGATTTGCATCAGAGCTGAAGCTCTTGAATGCGAGGGAGAAGCTGGAATGTCCCAAAAGAGCAGTTGGAATTTATAGTCAGTAACTCTGGTATTGAACCACCACAAAGCACTTAATATCCAACTGTTAAACCTACAGCTACAGATGACTGGTCAGAAATCTGTGCTCCAAAATGCTCTTGACTATAAATGTATTCCCTTGCTTGCAGTGGCACATCACACCTATATTAGGATATTTAAATTGAGATTGTGTTAACTGATAAGTGTTTATTAGCTATAATAAAATAAAATAAAATTGGAATAAAATCAGAATAGATTTTTTCACTTTGAAATAAACAATATTCACASAAATAGTATTTTTAACCAAATTGTATATTGAGAATTATTTTAGCTCTCACTTTCCCAATATTCACATAGTCATATTCCTTCAGATGGTAAAATATAAATGTATCCATGAGTTAGTCTTGTTCCTTACTGATCTGTATTTCAATSAATGAATGATTGGGTTTAATGCAGAAGGAGATTGCTCAGGACAGTGTCACCCATCAATTGATACACAGCAAACCAGGAGCACGGGAATGACTCAGTCATATCCACTTCCTCTTGACAAAAGAATATTTTCATACTGTCCTAATATTCTTAATATTCTCAATTTTTACTCAACACAAGCTGAGGCTATTCAAATCATTTTTCAATTTTTCAATTTTAAATGGAAACAAAACTGGCAGCAAATGCTATTCTCAGCTACAAATTGGAGTAAACTTCTACAGAGACAGAATTGACTTCAAGCCTTGAAGCAGAAGTGAACCTGGGGCTCAAACATCACAGAGTCCTCAACACTCTGAGTCCCCAGACCTGTGTTCAAGCAAATACAATTATAAACAGCCTTAGAGGAAATGGTCTGAGCTCAGTTCTATTTACATCTTGTCTTTAGGATGTACATCTTTCAAGGCAAGCACTTAAGTGTTGGTTTCAGTGCCAAAACCTTTTCCCTTCGAGGATGATGTTTTGTAGACAGAAAGAGCAGACCTTGTAAAACACGATTACTCATGTGGTTAAACTCAGCCCTGCTAGCAAACAAAGACAAGCAAACAAACAAAAAAGAATTGGGCATCTTATTGGTTTGGACAGATTTCTGAAAATACTGCTGAGATGTCAACAAGTTTATTCTGAACCCTCTTGTAACTGAGGAATCTTTCATTTGACCATCATTTCACTTGATTTCTGAGTTTTCATCGATACATTCCAACTCAAATTTCATTCCTTCAGCAAACCTCCAAAGCCCAGTTATTTTCAGTCACAGTAATGCCATTAGAAAAATATCTTTACATGTCATTGCGATATTTTAACAACTTGGAAACTATAAATCCTCATTATTCTGCACATGCAAACACCCTCTCAGCTTTATAAATGACAACAAAACAATAATGTTGAAGGTAGGTGGTGAATGACTTGTTTCTGCTATGAACTCCTGCTCTTTCYTGCTCTTGGCTTGTCAGCACTTCATAAATTATTCCAAGAGCTGAAATTTAGGCACTTTTGGCCTCAMTTTTAAAAACAGTTAATATAAAAACACCTTCAGACTATAGTAACTTCCAAAAGATTGTACCATCATTTTCCAGAGAAGGGATGCAGGAAGAAGTTCAGATTGTTGGGAGTCAATGCTAAAACCAAGACAATGAAGCAAATGGGACCAAAACATTCATTATAATTCCCCTCTTCATTTCTTTCAAACATTAGGAACAACAGCACTGTATTTAAGACRTCAGGAGGACGAAAAGGCAGTTTACTTTCTCCTCTCTGGATCTACTCCACTGTGCAATTATGCTGGAATTTAGTGAGACACAGCAGCAGTTTCACCCCAACTGGATCTATGCAGGAATCCGTATCACAAATACAATGTATTTGGGGGAAATTTGTATTATTATAAACTTTTCTACCATAATATTGGGAGATTATTTCTATCTTAAACGCAGAAGCACCGAGATGAAGATGCAGATGTGGCCAATGACAGATATACACTGACATTTTCCACTGAAAAAGCACAAAAGGAGGTGGGAGGACACTAAAGACAGAAATTAAGACATCACTTTGTCAGAGCTTAAACAGCAGTGAAGAGAMTGAGCTCAGCATGCAGGTCCTTTCATGTTGCCAACACAGTAAAATCAGATTARGACCTGCTGAAACTACTCAGTGCTCCCACTTGTTGATTTTGTAACGCATCAAACTCTGCCAATATCTCTGGAAATGCATTGTGTGAGCTCTCTATAAAAACACTAAGTAGTTACARTATTTTAAATAGCTTACATTTTAATTACTACTTTACTAGTGAGAATTAATACTTTTTAAATATTTAGAAAACCAGAGGCTGCACAGTTGATGATGGAGCTTTATGTCTCATAAAATTCTTCTGGCTCTTAAAWGTATCTTTAAATTCATCATCAAACAAGTGACATGACTTTCAAACAATAAATAAATTGCATCTATAGGAAGGAACTGCCTTATATATTCAAATATTTATAATCAAATATAAGAAKTTTTGATTTTATACTCCCAACCAACAGGCTTCAAATATATGAAATTTATAAACACAAAAGCACTTATTCCACAATGAACCCACTGAAATGGAAACATCYATGACTGCTGAAGGAAAAATTTTTGTCTTGACTACAAAAGCAGCAGCAAAAGTATCAGGAGAAAAATACWGCACAAAATTTGCAAGTACACATAAAATTACAAAAAAAAAAGTCTGTCTCAAAGTCCAGAAATTTTATTTCATTTATCATCGTGCCTAAAACACAAAAACAAAGATGTTTCCAGTTGTCAGATCATGAATAAAGCAAGAAAAAGCACGAAAAGCAATGGTAGGATCCTTTATTCACCAGGCACTTAGCTGTCAAATCAACATTCATTTTGTTTACAGAATTTTAGGTCTCATTAAGACCTTAATGGAAACAACATGATTTCTYCCCCCACCCAAAGTGTGTTTTTTATCCTAATTTCTCTGTAGACTAGTAAGGACCATATTTTTGAGCTAGCACTGGCATTAAACAAACCACAAAAGAGTCTTGTCAAAGACAGGCAACAATTTTGGAGCCTATTTCATACATTCCCCTCTTTAATCTCGGCCTTTTAATCTTGCCTGAATCTAAAATAATTYCTGGTTGACGGCATCTCCTGCTTTGTGCAGGGGGTGCCCCACACAGCCTTTGCTCAGAAAGTCCWCTGCCAAAACTCTTCTTCCAGAGCTTTTGCACTTCTTAGACTGCCATCAGGCAAATCTCTTGGTGCACCATAAACTACATTTAGAAATGGTTCTCAG